TAGAAATTCAACTATCTACATCACCAGCCAGCCTGGCTTTCAACTACTGGTGGAGGGGAAGGGAGAGGGATAAACCACTGTTACCCTTGGAGCAAGAAGTAATATATTCAAAGCAACCCTAAGTCCAGTGCACTTAAACGCCCAGGTAAAAATAAGCTAACTGGGGGAAAATATTAGTATTGTGAATCTTATTACTTCAAAAGGCACACAGTAGTTTGTATGAGCGGGATGGCCCTGGAAAATGAGCATATTTACCTTGTGACAGTCTTTCCCCCTGGGGATTGATGAGCTGAGGCTTCTGGGCCATTGAATTCCAATACTGAGGCTTCCCTGGCAACACGCCTAGTCCAAGGTAACCTGGATAGAGCTCTGGAAACCACTCCAGCCCCAGGGAGCTATGAAGGGTCTTCCTGTCGGCAATTTCCATCTGCCCGGTGAAGAGGGTTTTGGAAGTACAATGCTGGGTTGAAGGTAAAGACGGCGGGCACTCAGGGTGTAAGGCTTGGGGCCCACAGCCAGATCTGGGCTCCAGAAAGGCTTGCCCCTCCCTTTCCATCAATGCCTTTCCATCAGGGACTCGATTAGGATCGCAGGCTGCTGCTTTCTCTTCTTGCAGAAATTTTATAGCCAGAGACGCAAGACTTTGATTATGTGGCTGTGATATAGAAAGAAATTCATTGCAAATTGTCTGCCTTGGCATGAACAAATCTAAACTGGGACCTTCACCTCGAGATTTCTTCTCTGTGGCTGGTGCATCCATACTGAAGTTCTCAGAGCTGTCGTTCCTGGAAGGGCATGCCTGCATTTCCGTCACAGATACACTTTCCTTTGTGTGTCCTTTGCTCCCACATGCCTCTACTCCAAGGTCAAGTCCTTTACCCGGGTTGTCCTGGATTTGGACTTTACCTAAGGGGCTGACTTGAAAACCTAAAATTTGTGATTCCATGTTCTTTTTCTCCTTCTCAGAGTCTCTAACATCAATATACATTTCTGAGAGGTGGTCCTTGGCCTTGGAATCTCTCGCATCACTTGAATACAATGTTTTTTCTCTTTTATCTCCATAATTGAGCTTCATGGGAGAACTATGATAATCACCAGTCGGCATATCTAGTAATTTTACTAGAAGCTTCTGTTTTGAGGGATCAATTGTGTCCAAGTTTAACTTAGCAGAAGTGGCTTGTGCATCATTAGGTAAGGCTGAAGGGTATTTTCTATCTTGATTTGACAAAGAAGGTTCCATTGGGCCAAAAGGCAAAGATGCTTTAGTTTGTGAAAGATAGCTTCTACTCTCCCCTGATTGAGGCAAATCTTTTGCAAGTTCCCTTTTAGGAGTAGCGTTCTTTAATGCATAAAACTGAGCCTTAGCTTCTTCCTTGAAAGTAATCTTTGGTTCAGGATTTTTTACCATTTTGAGGGAGAGTTGAATTTGATTCTTGGTGTCATCATCACTTGCCTTTGTATCACCTGTTCTTTCCAAACCAATAGCTGGTAGTGGAAGGGGCTCAGCAGTCCGTTCTGGTTTGTCCCTCATCAACTTACTATTTCTTTTCTCACTCTTTGTCCCCAACTCTCTCTCTTTAGCTTTAGTTAAGTCTTTGATTGGACTTTTCCTTTTCTTAGCATGTGGGAGTGTAGCCTGCTCAGACTGACAAACATTTTGATCGGCAGGTATAGTTAGTTTTATCATCTTACAATGTGGCAAATGAGATTTTAATCATTTAAAGGGCTTCTTACAGTAAGGACACACGTCCATTCTGGTGGAATCTCACTCTCCTATACCTGAAAAAGGTACATATGAGATTATGAGGAGCACATAATTTGTAAATGCCAACATTTCATTTATTTCATACCTTTTAAATTCATTTGGTTAAAGATAATTTATCTAGGTTAAAGATAATTTTTTAAAGTTTGTTTCCATCTATCCTTTTTCTTTTTGTTTTTTTGTTTGTTTTTGTTTTTTAAATATATTTTATTGATTTTTTACAGTGAGGAAGGGAGAGAGATAGAGAGCTAGAAACATCGATGAGAGAGAAACATCGATCAGCTGTCTCCTGCACACTCCCCACCGGGGATGTGCCCACAACCAAGGTACATGCCCTTGACCGGAATCGAACCTGGGACCCTTCAGTCCGCAGGCCGATGCTCTATCCACTGAGCAAGTTTGTTTCGATCTATCCTTTTTCTTATGAAGGTAGAAAACCGAAGACACAGGTTGATTTTTAGAAAAGCATCCCCAGTTCCACTTAATTTACATTAGGAAGTCTTCTAGGAAGCAATCCTTGCAGAAGACAATCAAATCCACATCCCTGACTAGGAGGTAAGGAAGACCGACTTCCATCTAATGAATTAACGGTTAGTGGAAGGAAAAGATGTTCAAATAACAGTCAGAATAAAAGGTTTGCTACTGAAGGTTGCAGCAAGTCCACTGGGTATCACATGAGTAAAAAGAAAAAAACTGTCAAAAACCCTTAAACACATCATTCAAGCAAATAATGGTGAAGAATAAAAAACTCAGGCCAGGATCTGAAGGTGGTTGATGATAGCAGTGGTTTCTAAAGTGCAATCTATGGAAGAACCACAGGTACAAGGAGAAAATATTATAACTCCCATTGTCTAAGCATGAGAATCGAAGCTCTACTAACATTTAACATATCAGTAAGTTCCAGGGGGGCAAGGACATGTGTCGTCTGCGCACAGCTGTGTTCTCAAAACCTCGCACTGAGCCTGGATGTGATACTCGCTCAGTGAAAACTTCCTCTGCAGATAAACACACAAGTATCATTATCAAGTACTGTAAGTATGAATATCTTCTAATCCCCGAGTCAAAGCGTGAGCTTCCGAAACCGCTTACAAAATAAGGAAGTATAACCTTGGCCACTGCGTGCATCATCCAAGCAACCAACCCACCAGATCCCACGTGAAGTCAGGCAAAGCTGTTTCCTGTCGACAGACTTACAGTTGGAGGCAACCCCTTTGACCAGACGATGAAAGTTACGGGCCGTTTATTCACAAAAACACACAAGTGAGGCCGGACAGTCCCTGCGCCTTACTCCACCCTCACCCTTAACGTCGCTAGAACAATCTCTTTATCCACAGATGGGAACGTCTTACCGGGAGTTTTCAACTGCTTTCTTACCCGAGCTGCTTTCCGTACGCGGGTGCTAATTCTGCGGTGGTCTCTCCCGGATCCCCATGCTTCCCGCTCGCCGATCCCAAGTTTAGCAGAATCAAATTAGGTTTCCACGTCAGCCTGTGCAAGACACCATCAGAGAAGCCGGTCGGCTGAGCCGCAGGCAAACACCCGGGTTATCAGTGGGGCAGTGCCCCTCCCGGGTTCCGGGAAGCAGGGAGTTAAGACTTCCCCCGCTTCCCGGGCACGGGGCCGATCTCAAGGTTACCCTAATCTTCGCCCTCACCGCCTGCGCTCTCCAGCGGACCTTTCCTTCCCCGTCCCGCCTCCCGGCTCCCTTACTGTTCGGAAAGCTGTCAGGCAGCTTCCAGCGGAGTGGGCGGGGACCGCCAGGCAGCTTCCAGGTCCGAGGCCAGCCTCCCCGCAGCCCTGGCCCGAGGCGCTGGAGCCGCTGGGACGCCGAAGGGGGCTCATTCTGCGGCTCCGGAAAGCCCTCCATCTGTCCCGCCACCCGATCGACACCCCTCGCGGCTCAGGATAGTCGCCCTGACATAGGCACCCCGCCGTCGAGACTCCCCTAGACCAGTGTCCTCACCTCCCAAGACCTTAAAGTCCTGGAAGCCCCCGCGACAAGACCCCCAAAACATCCCACGAGCAGCTTCCCAACGCCCGGTCGCGTCTACATAACTGCCTGATGCTTCTCAGCTATTTTTAAAAAAATCATTACCTCACAGGGACCTAAACTCAAATACTTATTTCTTATTATGATGACATAAGTTAAATTCATTTAACTCTGGCTCGACTTTTACACTGCCCCCCGCTAGGCTGCGAACAGGCGAAAGCTGCAGACACCTCTAGTGAGGTCCTTTTCTCCCAGAGGTTCTCAGTAGCTCCTCCCCCTCCGAGCCCGCCTCTTCCCGTGGGCGGGGTTACTGGTCGGCGCGGCCGGGACGCGTCACTGCGCAGCCGCG